TTTTTTTAAAAAAAAGGGTGCGTGAGGGAAAGAGAGGCCTTCTTTGGAAAGGAAAAAGGAATTCGCCTCTTTTTTTTATGGGGGGGGGGGGGAATCCATGTGTACTCTCATTTTAGGAAAACTATTTTGGGAAAGAATATGTTTTTACAGTTTTCCAACAAAGAGAGAGTGAAAAACTGTCTAATACCAGAAAATAAGAGATACACCTGTGCCTATATTTAACATTTACATCTTTTAAAACAGTGAAAATATTCTCACACATTCCCAAAGGCATACATATAAAATATGAATATTCATTCAAAGCAACTGTTGGTTTTATCTGGTCCACAGCTGGTGGAATCCCTTTCATTCCAGTTAATGCATACATTCCCCAAAGCCATCATAAGAAGGTCTGAGGAATGCTGAGAAAACATTCAAAAGCCATTCTCTTGATTTTGGCATTCTATGTGGGATTTCTAAAGGTATCCAACTATCCTCTAGAGGAAAAGAGGATGAAGTGCAATTGCTTCTTATTCTCCTTCTCCTTCCATTTGTACTACTGCAACAAAAATTCATGTAAGTCATGTTTGGTTAATTTGTGCATATCTAATGCATATGTATATATAGTTGTAGAAACTTGTCTTACCTTCTAAAATTCAGTGGAAAGACATTTCATAAAAATTAGTTTTTATATTTCTTCTCTTGAAAAATAATCTTGTAAATGTCTACAGAGAAGACAGATTTTCAATCAGTGCTATTCCCAGGCAAGTGCAATGAATTTATTTATTTGACCCATATCATACCTTTCCTATAGATGCTGAAGGCTGCTCCAGACTCTTCTGCTTTTTTCTGCAACAATCCTACAAAATAGGTTGGGTAGAAAAATACTGACCAGCCCTAAGTTTAGTGAGTCTCTATTCTTGAGAGGTCTCTTGAATGTGGGTCTTCACAGCCCAGCACCTAAATTCCTAAATTCTGTATCTAATACAGTGGTACCTCGGGTCACGAACTTAATTCGTTCCGCGACTCTGGTCGCAACCTGAATTGGTCGC